TAGGGTTTTCTTTGGGGACCCTGCCCGGAGCCGATGACTCAATAGTCTGACCTGCTCGGCTGCAGGGGGTTGGCCTAACCCGAGGGCGCAGGGAATAAGGCATTACTGTCTCATTCCTGATGCGGCTGCGCACAGCAGGTGCCTTTTGAGCAGCACCGGGCTCTTTGGTTTTAAAAGTATTTCGACCGTATTGGATAATGCGCCGGCGGTCACGGTCAACCGTTGGGCGATCGAAGTGTGCGGTTTTTGGGGCCGACCTTTTCCAACCTGTCCTTCCTCAGGGGAAGGCAGCATCGCTGCTTCCATAAATATGGAAATGCTGGTCGCCTGGGGGAAACACCTTACTGCCTTCACACTCCTGTAACAGAGGACAGTACGACTTTACCCCCAGACCGCCTCGTAGCACGATTACTCGTAGTGCGGGGTCTCGAGGCCCGAGGCCGTGTAAAGGTCTACGGGAAGCTCTCTCCTGAGTTCACCACATCAAGTGGTGTTCGATAGGACCGTCTATTTTCCCTTTCCTCTTCAACTTCGTCATCCGATCATGGAAGACGCACTACAAGCCTCTAATGCCTGTGGGATCGAAGTGCTTCCTGGGCCTCCGCTCACAGATATCGATCGAGTAGACGACATTGCTCTTCTGGGATCTGATCCCGTTGTAATGCAAACAATATTAAATAATCTAAATAATTCTGCCTCGCGGTTCGGCATGCGCTTCACACCTGCAAAGTGTAAAGTGCTACTGCAAGACTGGGTGGGCTCGAACCCTAGCCTCATGCTTGCCGATGAACCGATTGAGGTAGTAGACAAATTTGTTTATCTGGGCAGCTGTATCAGTCCCGGTGGTCTCACGAAAGATGAGATTTCCATCGAGACTGGGAAGACCAGAGCAGCTTTTGCGAACCTACGTCACCTGTGGCGTAGGCCTGACATCAGCTTCTCTGTCAAGGGTTGAGTTTATAATGCTGCGGTGCGCTCCATATTAATATATGGATCAGAAACATGGCCGCTGCGTGCCGAGGACGTCAAAAGACTTTCAGTGTTTGACTATCGATATCTTCGGAGCATTGTCCGAATCTGGTGGGAGAAATAACTCACCCTCGATAGATGAACTGATCACGCTTCCTAGGTTGCGCTGGCTTGGCTACGTGTTGCGTATGCCAATCGACTGACTTCCTCGAAGGCCGCTTTTCGCACAACCACGTGAAGGGTGGAAGAGTCAGAGGCGGTCAAACAATGACTTGGCAGCGAAGTATGAAAGCCATTACCAGCAAACTTAGCTGCGCTGGTCATTGCCGTCTTCCTGGATGGGGACCCCGAGACATTGTCAGATATGGCCCAGTCGCGCCCTCAATGGCGCTCGTGCATCAAAGCTATTGCCTTCAATGCATAGCTCCTTTTCCAACCCCCTCACCACTTGACAGCCCACTGACAGTGCTGGATTTATGCACCAATTTATCAGCTCCCGCCTGCAACGCGCAGCTACCTACCTCTCTCCCCCCATCAGTGAACGAAACTGCGGCAGCTACAACCACAGTACGATGAGTACGCGGTTATTACAGCTGACAATGATGAAGATGATGGGCTCGAAATGGGCGACTGACATTCGAATCAGGGAAATCATTGGACTGGCGGGGCTTAGAAGCACGCCATCCAACATCATCGTCGTTACCGCGTACGCACAGACACCTGGTCGCAAGCAGCACCTCAAAGATGAGGTGTATAACACACTCCAAGGAATGGTTGATAAAATAATGAAATGAGGCGTGTTTGTAATTGCCGGTGACTGGAATACATACACAGCACTGTGCGATACTTCAACGTTTCATATTCCTGAATAGTAGGATCGTGCCACCCGCTTTAACAGGCTTACTGACTCCGTTGACTTCAATCTATTGTGTGTTGACATGTCAAATATCTGAACTCAGCCTGGATGTTCCTTTCAAGTCTAACTTACCCTCATCATCAGTCGTATTCTATGTTCTTTGGTCTCGAATATGGCACATGACTCGCGACTTTATCTTGAGGTTATATATATATA